CCTCGCGAGGTTGCCCTTACAGCAGAACAAGCCCACCAATACGGACCTCACCTCCCAACTCCCTGCCAGGGCCCGCAGTCTCTGACGCCCCCTGCCGGTAACCTGGAGGTGGCCTCCGGAGGGGCTGCATGCAGGAGGATTCTTGGTGGATTGCGACAGATGGCTCCGTCCCGGCCCCACCCGACCTTGCGCTGCACAGCCCCAGCCCCCTTCGAACACTTTGGTCCTCGTGAGGCCTCAATACTTCCTCCTGCCCGGCCCTTGGTGTTCTCCTCCGGCCGTGGTTTAGCTTTCCCATGCCCCGCGCCCTATGGCCCCGGGCTGTCCTGAACCACTTCCGGACCCCCTTCCCCCCGATTCCGACCGTGGCCCCGCCTTCCTTCCCTCTACCCATGGCTAATGCTGGCCTCTCCGGCCACCGCTGGTCTGTCCCTAGCCGTTCCTGCTGCCAGCCACCTGTCGGAATGGGCTTCCCCTGCCATGCGGAGCGCCCTGATGGCATCAAAACGACTCCGGATTCCGATTCCGATTCCGATTCCGATTCCGCTTTCCCGCGGTTGTCGCTGCGATGGCCATTACCTCTGCATGCTCCCCACTCTTACTGCCAAAGATGCTGACCATAGTGTCTTTGCTGGTGTGATGACCTTCCCTTCTGCACCTTCTGCCATCACCACACACCTCGCCTCTGTCTCTTGCTCAAACCGCACCCCCCACCACGACATCATGTGACCACCCAGATTTTGGCAGACATGTGACAACTCCACCAGAATTTGGGCGGCACATGATCCCTGGAGCGATTCCGGGGCACCTCCGGGAGACCTTTCCGCTGATGCTGTCATTGTGGCTTTGACATGAGATCGCTCACACCCCGAGCAAGGCTCGGCTTCCTTGGGAGGCAAGTCTCCCACACTCCATCACCCGTGTTCCCCTACGCACGTGTCTCCGCGGGCTTCACAACCCGGCCCCGATTCTCATCGGACCACCCGGGTGACCTTCCCTACGTGTCCGACTCGACGCGTCCAGTTCGACTCTGGACCTTGGGATAACCGCGAGATGGCTGATCCCTTTGATCGGCTTGCGACACCTTGGCATGACACCACTCGTTGCCGCCCCACTAGGTTCTGGGCGTGGCCTACTGCCGTATAGGCCCGTGCCAGATGCGAGACGACGAGTCCGCTCGCCTGGGGCCGCCCTACTAGGCCACGAGTGGCAGGTGCTGAGTCGGAGTGCCGACTTTCCCCCCTCACTCTCCGGAGACGGACTCCACCCCATAATGTCATTCACATGGCATCGGAGTTCATCTAGCACACCCCCGGAGACGTCTCATACGTCTCTGGTGTCAACATAGCTGCCCCGGAGGGTACCCTTGCCTTAGAGGATCCACCATGGTGTTACCTAGGCAGTCACTGCAGTTCAGGGCTCTGCAGGTGCCCCTTCCGTTCATGGGACCCCTCTCCGCTTTCCGCCCGTCACGTCACGGTCACGCGCTCGGAGTCGCGTTTCCGTTTCCGGTAGTCACGTCACGGTCACGTCACAAGCGGAGATGCTCAAAGGGTCCCATTGTACAGCCGGACCCCGAACAATGGAATCGCTTCTGGAATGCCTACGTCAACCCGCCTCTGCCGCACAACTAGGATGGGTCGAGCTGTTGCCACCCAGTCCGCAACACTAGGCTTAGTGCCCCGGCTGACAGCGCAGTGTCCGGAGTCACACTGCAATTCCTTTCCCCCCCCCAACCTGACATCTGGGTGCAGTAAAAGTGAGCTCGCCACTCGCTATGCTATCACCCCATGGCAAGTCATTTGCCGCCCAACGATCTCCAACAACCAGCAGAGATGGTCGGAATCGCCCTGCGACGTCACAGGCGTTTCCGGTCACGCTCGGAGACGTTCCGGGCACAAACGGAGACGTTTCCGGAGGTGTACTTGGTGCTTTGGCTAAGCACAGACCCCCTTTTTTTTTCTGTGGTGCGTGGGGGCGCCGCACTCTTGAAGGGGGATGGAGGAGGTATAGGAGGGGACTCGCAGAGGACCCTCCTGGAGCAACATGCGACCAGAGCGCAAGCGGGCGCACACCGGCTACGCAAAGGTGTAGTTGCACCATCTCTCGGAGAGGCACCGGGACCGCAGGTCTCCGGGGCGTCTCCGAATATGGGCGCGCAACCAGTGGAGAACGCAAGTACTCCATGGGTTGACCTTGGCAACAGCAATCACTGGAGCAACGCCAAGGTACCGTCACACTGGCTCTTGGAGATGGACAGTCTCTGGACATCGACAGAGACAGGAGCTTGGCCACCGGAGGACAAGGGACTCCGGAGGACGAGCTCAGTGACCCCCCGATTTTTTTTCCTGCATCAGGGCGATGCAGCTTGAAGGGGGGATGATGTCAGGGGAAACCCTGATGCCGTCACTTGATCCCATCAAGCGCCGCGTCTCCGCTCGCGTCTCCGCGTCTCCGCTCGTGTCTCCGCGTCTCCGCACCCTGACGCTCTCCCTCCACTGCCCGCACCACATCACACATCCAGTGATCCCCAGTCTTCGACTTCCCTGGCCACCCCTTTCCGGGAGTCTCTCCGCCGGCGGAGTCACCATCAGGGATCACTAATGCCATCGGAGACCTCTCCGGATGTGGGACGCACCACTTCCCTCCGAGACCTTGAGCCTATGGCCTTCTAGCCTCTCTGGGCTGTCACTTATCAAGGTCTCCCTACGATCTCTACCTGCTGGACCTCTTGGGTGTCCCCAACCCATGTCAGCGTTCAGGCTTATGTTCGGATGGCTGAGCCTTGCCATGGCTCCGCTCTCCACTCCGCCACCACGGCCCCCCGTCATCGGGCCTTCCCCTGGGTGAGGCCTACTGCCGTTAAGGCTCGTGCCTACTGCAGCGCCCCAGGCTGCACGCCCTCACACCTCCACCTCTCTGGAGACGTCCGGGGACGTCTCCGAGTGACCCCCTGTCGCTACCCTCCAGTGGTCATGGCTGGCCGCCATTCCCATTGGTCCTCTTCGACACTCCCCGGCCCTTGGGCTAGACCAGACTCCTTCCCTTTCCGCTCCACGCCTTCCCTCTCCGTTTCCGGCCGTCACGTCACGGTCACACACCCGGAGTCGATTCCGATTCCGGTTCCGATTCCGGTTGTCACGGTCACGGTCACAAGCGGAGACGCTCAGAGGCAGCCTGGACCTCCCGAAGCCCTTCTTAGGCCTTCTAAGGATGCCTGGGCTCCTCCCTTGGCATCACGGTCCCAAACCTGCCTCTCCGGAGCTTCGAGGGCTACTCGACACTCACCTAGGGTCCATTAGCGACACCTGACTTCTCCCATGCGTCGTTCGTCGCTATGCAGTCACTCTATCATTACTCCGGTCACTAGTATATAGTAGTGCACCTGAGCAGAGGGCTCCTTGGCTTGTTCTCTAAGGATTCCCCCTCTGCTCAGGTGAGTCTGTAGCGTCCCTTCCTGTTGTAGTAGTTCACTAAGGATTCCCCCTCTGCTCAGGACTCTGATTTCGAGCCTCGCGAGGTTGCCCTTACACCTTCGGCCACCGACAGTGACAAGGGACCCAGTTAACGGGGCCCTTACGGTTTGCGGGCCCGACTATCCGTCTGTTCTGTTCCGGGCGCGCGCTATTAGGAGAGGTCCTTGCACGGCCGGCCCGCAGTCTGACAGGGTGCTGCGTAGGGCGCTCATAGGGGTGAAGGGAAGGGGTCACAGGAATAGGGAGTAGAGGAGAGTGGTGGGTCGTCGGGCCTGAATGGCCCTGTGGGGGTGGGCAGCCTGTCAGCCTGACCCGAACAGTAACACTAGGCCCGCAGGGCAGATTGGATGGGCGCTGCGTAGGGTTCTCATGGGGGCAAAGGGAAGGGGTTGAAGGAATGGGGAGTCAGGGAGAGCAGTGATGACCCGGTTAAAAGGTAGGTGGGCTGTGAGAATGGACATTCCGATTTTGGACAGAAATGGTGTAGCTTTGTGTGGCCATCAGATATATTGATGGCACTCTAAAATTGTTCCACATCAAATAACATTTCTCTGAGAGGGCCTGGATTTTGATGATTGAGAACCTAAGTAAACAAACTTTTGTAAAAAGACTTTTGTAAAATATGTGACATATGTGATGAATCTAAGTATCCAGGCTAAGCAATAGCTAGGAAAGCAGCTAGTAGAAACAGTTGAGCTATAGCTATAGCCAAACTGTAGCTAGATATTTAGGACAGGACTGCCTCAGCTGCAGCTTCTGAATTTAGGCTCTATGTTGCTAGTAAGCTAGAGCTTGAAATCCAGGAAAGCTCTGCCCTAGCTACTGCTTGAGGCTTAGGCCAAATACTACATATACCTATGGTATGTTATGGGAGACCTCTAAGATCTTGGATATGATCAAGCCTAGGAGCAGTATAAAGAAACATGGGTGTGAAGTAGTCTGGTTTGCCACTCAAAAAAACCACATCCTCAAAAGCAAACTTGAAGCGCCGATTTCCGACAATGTAAAATGATAAAACGGGGAGGCTGCTTATAAACATAGATGTATATTACACCGGGGGAATTATCAACGGGAAAATAGGAGTCCGGACTTCGGCCGTGTACAACGCCCAACACAATCGCACGGCCAGAGTCGCCAGACACGGTCGTCGCGACGAGGGTTGTACGCTCCGGATCGTAGGTTTGCAACTTGCAAGTGGTGATCAATTCGAGGACGGTACAGCACAGCACAGTGTGCTAGGATATGAATGATAAAACGGAGGACAACGAATGTGCGGCTCGGGATTTGAAGAAATAGCAAAGAAACAAGCATCCTAGTAAGCCTATAATAATCTAACAAAGCAGAACAGCCAGCGGCCGCGACCGTCCGTATCAAGCGGATTCCTCCGAGTCGCTGGGGTTCGCTGGTGCAAGTCGGAGGCAGTCGACCGCCGGGCGGGTTGGGGCGGGGGTTGCCGTTTGCGAAAGGCGCTACTCATATTCGCGCGGATCGAGATTCGATATATCAGGCCGACGCGGCCGCGGGCTACGTGGCGACGTGTAGCCGGTGATGGTGGCGGGGCAGCGGGAGCGGGAACGCGCGGAGGAGCCCGTGCAGCTTCCCGCAGCGGCGCGCCGGGGCGGGGGGCGGGAACGGTGGGGATTTCTTTGGCGGTGTGGATATCGATAGGAGGGGCGGGGTGCGGGGGGCGAATGGGCGGGTGTGCGCGGGCCCGGGGGAGAGCGAGCCGGCGGAGGACACCGGCGAGCTCGGTGCGAGCTCCGGGACGGACGAGGCGCGGGTGTGTTTGCGGGTGAATGCGGGGACGGACAGCGCTTGTTTGTCATTGTCGCCGCCCGGGAAGGCGACCGCGACCAACGCGGTGTGGTGCGCCATCAGGTCGGCCTCCCTGATGCCGAGCTCCCAGTCGAGCACCTCCAGAAACTCGCGCTCGATGCGGCCCACGTCCCGTTTGCCGAAGACGCCCGTGCAGAGCGCCCAGTGGACGTTCTTCAGCGTGGAGTCGTTGGTGTACTTTGACGCGACGATGAGCGCGCCGAGGAAGACGCGCTCGAGCGCCCACTCCTCGAGCGCGATGGACAGATGGGCGCGCGCGCGGGCGATGTAGACGAGCGCCGCGAGCACGGTGGCGGGGGCGACCTCGGCGCGCGTGAGCACGTCGTTGACGAAGGTCGTGAACGAGGCGCGGAAGCGCACGTGGCTCCGCGGGGAGCGGCCCATCGCGAAGTCGACGGCATCGACGACGGTGTCGATCAGATACTCTGCAAGAAAGAGATGAGTCACGGAGAGGAGAAGGGAAAAGGCGACGCACGGACGACGGGCTTAGTGAGACGGACGTCGATGAGCTGTGTCATCGCGGGCGAGTGGCGCGCAGGGTCCACAAGGGACGCAGCGTGGCGCGCAGAGGGCGGCGACGGGCTGGGGCTGAGGGTCGCGGTGGAAGCAGGCGAGGACATCGTCGTCGTTATCAACGGGGTGGGTAACGGACAGCAGCTCGGCCCATCGCCTCTTATATATGATCGTGCAAGCGAGTAATGACTCGGCACCCGCGCTGCGCCGACACGTCACCCTGACACCACAGCCACGACGTAATTCGCAATCTGATCGCCGGCCCAATCTGCGTCCCGCGCTACGTGTGCCCTTGTTCTCGTCGCCAAGGCGTCGGCTGCTGCGTGTGGCCTGCGCGCCGGCTGTCTGCCTGCCAGCCGCCCTTTGTCGCCCATTGTCGTTCCCTTCGTTGCGGATGACCAACACAAAGGGCCTCCAATCGATAACCCATCCCGTTGTCTCGTCTCGCTAACGCTGACTCACCGGCTCGGCTAATCGCCCACCCTCCAAATCGGGCCCCGCCCGGCTCGGCTCGTCATCCCCAGCCTGACACACGTCATCCCTCGCTTAAACGCAATCAAGCAGCCATTCCGTGCTGTTCGGAACATGACAGAACGAAAGCTGTAATGTACCCTGTGCGAGGGAACGACGAACAGAAAACCGCGCTGCGGCGGTGCAGTGTGTGATAAGCGAGGTCCGCGCGCTGCGCTGGGGCACGCAGCCCAGGCGCCAGCGCCGACGGGCAGCCCACCCACCACATCTCAATCCAGGTAAATCAGGGGCCGGCCCGTCGCACACCCGCATGTGATTCCCGGCCTGAGTCAAAATCACTCGAGCGTCTGATGCGCCGCGCCGGACCGGGACACGCCGTTCACGAAACTGGCACAGATACAGGCATAGGTGAGTGTGCCGGTGCTCGCTACTGTGGAGAGTCGCTATCCTGATGTATTTTCTCATATACCAATTTGTCAATTTAGCATTTTGTGAAAATTTGTTATAGAGTGAAAATTTGTTATAGATATGCATGTGAATAATATGCAAGCAAACACAAACAGATTTGCTAGAGAATATCCCAACAAGAAGAGAAAAGTGACTCCAAAGGTCCTGCAAATACTGCACCATCATATTATTGTCAGATAATCAACCAGATTAATTATCATCACCAGCTGTCCAGAATGAATTACTGAAGTCTGCTTCAAGTTTTAGCCTTCATCCCATAAGTGTACTATTTTCAGTAATCTATCATCCCCTCGCATTTGTGGCCAAAGATACCAACCTTATCAGGACATACAACTAGGTTGTCACAATTTGTGTGTGGTAGGAACCTTTAGACTCTTAATCCAAGGGCATTGTTAGGAAATATATGGATTATACCACAGCTGGCTAGCGATATCAACTACAGAGTGGGAAATTGTGAGTGTTTTGATTTCTACACTGGGCATAAAGATAATATCATATAATACTCCCACAAACCTCACACTGGGTGCAAAGCTTGTGGCAGAGGGAAAATGGCAGTTTGCAGGAAGGCTTAAAGGAAATTTTTTTCCTTTGTTCACAATAAAGATTTCTTTGTTTCCTATACAACATGGAAGTGACAGCCTAATTTCATCTAATAACAGGATTTCTAATTTTAGCTTATAGTCCGAGTAGCTGACACTTACATCATCCTCATGTGATAGCAACATATACTTAGCCTTCACCACACTATAGAACTATGTTAGCTATATACTATCAACTCACATCCTTAACCACAGCAACCAAGATATAAAATTGAAACCATAATATACATGCTCAACCTAGTTGGAAAACTAAAGCAACATTCTTTAAGTCCACAACATAGTTGCTAATTGTTGGCAGCATCCATAGTGGATAAGAACTGTCGCATGGCAGTATTAATACAGATATAAAGCACTAAAATAAATTTAGTATTGTTGTACTCTAGTAAATCAACAACAGCCTGTAATATAATTACTACTTTGTGGGGCCTGGCGGTGACCTTGTCTGCAAAAGACAGAAGGTCTCTATGAGGATGGGCACATTAAACAGTACCCTAATAAACAACATTGATATAGTGGAGATTCTGGCAGTATTTGGGGTTGATAGTGAGAACAGCCATAACTTGGTTTAGGTAGTCAAAGGTAAGGATATGAAGCTGGAGAAGCATTTCAAAGACAGAAGAAAGTAAATGTGCAGTAGTAACATCCTAAACGATATGCCAAAGATTAACCCCAGTTCCTATAAAATGTAATAATAGGAAAAGAGTTGGTGTTAATGCTCCTCCCAGAGTGAGTCTCTTAATAATTAGTTCCTATAAGATGGAACTAGTATACGGTCCTATCAAGAGAAATAAGCCCTAGGCTTGCTCAACTGTAAAGATACTAAGTAACCGGAGATGTTAATAGCGGATAGAAACTTGAAACATTCTGCTGCAAATAAGGGAGCTGAAGGTGTGGAGGCTAATTTTGGTTTACTAGCAAGACAAACTCATTATAAAGTCAAGTATAGTATTGATTTCCAAGCAGTTAGGCCCAAAATACAAATAGAGTTGTGAGAAAGAGGAAACAGAGTAAAGTGGAGACAGTGCATAGTGTAGTTGATGCGGAAGCTACAATAAAGGACTATAAGCAACAACTAGTCTAAGGGAAATAATATGAGCTTCTAGAAACTAGGAAGCAAAAATATAGTTAGCTGTTAGACATGGTGGCTAAGAGATTTTCAGGAGATGGTTTAGGCTCCAGCAATGTCGTGGTTGTTGTCCATAAAGAAAAGGCATGTGTATAGAATATCTAATACAACAACAGAGAAGTACCTAGTGTCAGGTGAACCTCCCTTTCGGCCCGGATACGCATCCGATTCCGGTCCGATTCCGGTTCCGACTCCGGTCCGGCCCTCCATCTCGCCCGCACAATCACCGATCCGTCAACGCCCTCTTACCAATCTCTCGCCCAAGTACAGCAACCCATTCTCGGATCTTAGTCCAGGGAGAGAACCAATCTTTGATTCCAACCCTGCTGTCCAGTTGTCCATAGCATAGCCTGACCTGATAGAGTCCAGTAATTCATCATCCGTGGTAATGTCCAGAATAGTGTTAACACGATGGCTGTGTTCCAAGCCACGCAACCTTGTTGATGAGATTGATTGGCAAGCTTGAAAAACCGGGAAGACAGCTGCGACTACCTGGTCTCTTTCGCGTCGGTTCAGAGCTTCAAAGTCCTCAGGCAAGCGATCTCCAAACTCTGTGCATGAAAGAGCATCTGCTCCACAATTTATCTCTCCTGGGACATATATGATCTTCAAATCAAACTGGGACATAAACTCCATCCATCTAGCTTGTCTGCGGGAAAGGTCTCATTGTGTTGCAAAATTCTCCAGAGTCCGATGGTCTGTGTACACCTGTATAGGCACACCTATCAAGTCAGTCCTCCAGCGCCTCAAAGCCCTGATGATTAACAGTTCCTTCTCATGCACTGGGTAGTTAAGTTCAGCACCTTTAAGTGTCATTGATTCAAATGCAACTGGACGTGCAGTTTCCCAGGATGGTCCATAAGACAGGATGCCTCCTGTCCGTGTGTCACTTGCATCAGTTGTGACAAAAATCTTGTTGTCACCCATGTTCTGGTGATCAATTGTTGTGAGACAGTCAACACTTATCACCAATTGCTTTATAGCATCAAAGGCCACCTGATGGTATTCAGCCCACCCTGGCCAGTTCAAGTCTGCATCCTTGTGAGTAAGTCTTGTCAAGACCTCTGTATGTTTAGCCAGATTAGGCAAAAATTGAGCTACAAAACGGACCACTCCCAAAAATGCCCTTACATGTGTAGAGCACTTTGGAACAGGCCAATTGACTATACGTGCCACCTTAGATTTATCTGGTTCCAAACCCCTTTGTGAGATATGATGTCCCAAGAAATCAATTTCATAGCAGAATAACTGAGTTTTCTTCTCATTGCAATACAGTGAAGCCTTCTCTAAGGCAGCAAAAATTAAACGTATATGGTGTTCATGTTCCTCTTCAGTCTGTGACCATATGATTACATCATCAATATAAACATGGCAAAATTTTCCAATATAGTCTCTCAAAGCGGCCGTCACACGGCGCTGCTGAATCGATGGTGCATTGCGGAGTCCCTGAGGCATTACTAGCCATTCATAGAGACTGAGTGGTGTTGCCACTGCGGTGTATTTTACAGAGTCAGGGTGCCTACGTGTTTGGAAAAATGAATCTGTGAAGTCAATTTTTGACCAAATCTTCCCTTTAGCACAGTCATTCAGGATATCATCAACACGAGGCAAGGGGAAAGAATCTGTGATTGTGTTTGCATTTACTGATCTGAAGTCATTCACCCAGCGGGGAAGGACAGTAGTATCAGCCTTAGGAATAAGCATGGCTGGGGAGACAAAGGGTGAATTTGAAGGGCGTATGCGCCCCGCTTCTAAATGTTTCTTGATCAATGTACTCCAAGCCTCTTTGTATCTCCGCGGACTAGGGTAGCTGCGCTTTGTCAACGTTTGAGTTGCATCTTTGATACTGATCTCGCACAGCACATCGGTGGGCAAGTTGTTGACATGCGGGATAGGCTCGAAAATTTTGCGAAAGTTGTTCTTTATTGATTCCCCGCGAAGTTTCAAACGTTCCCATTCTGCCAAAACCTGAACCCGTTCTTGGACAGCGGCTACTATGTTCACTGGTTTTACATACTCAACCAAGCTGTTGTCCTCAAGAAATTGTTTGCGCTTCTCGCAAACTCCATGCAATTCCGCAGCAACACTCTTGCGATTCGCTTGCACTTCGTTGAAAAGTTCTCTCAACTTTTTCTTTGGCTTCGGTTTCGTAGGTAACACTGGATTCAACAGATCATATGCACAGGATTTATCGACCACGGTCCGTAGTTCATGGTCTACAATAATTTTATTTCGTTTCAGGAAGGGCAAGCCCAAAATGAAGTCTTTACACAAATTCGGAACTACAAGGAAGCGAGCGGAACGGGAGGAATAAGAGTTATCGCGTGAATGTAACTGAAGTTTGATGTAATGCGTCGCGGTGTAATCTTCGTCTTTATCGAGAGCTAGACCAAAAGGAACTGGTCGAGGGAGAGGGTACGTAGGTAGCGAAAGTCGAGAAACAACAGATGCATCAACCATATCTAATCCTGAGCCATTGTCAATGAGTGCATCAATGAGTACCGGAAACTCGTACTTGGGCACGTCAATCATGCATGGCCAGACGAGGGGATTCCCGCCCACGTTGGGGGGCTCTCGATCTGGGACAGGCGGCGCGAGGGTGCGCGTGGGACTTGGCGCTGCTGAAACAGCGTCAATCTCACTGATTGTGGCCGCAACTACATGCATGGGGTAAGGTGCGGTACTCACGGAAGGTGTGTGTGCGCCCTCGTCATCCGAGTCCTCCGAGTCGAACATGTTCTCGACAGAGCGGGCGGGGATGTGGGCGGCACGAGCCTTCCCTTTGTCCGTGGGGTAGTTGTTGTTCGTGAAGCGGTTCGCGTTGTTGGAAGTCGACAGCGGTTTCGGCTCATGAGTGCGCATGAAAGCTTCGACGCGGGACATATCCGCCGATGTCAGCTTCTTCCGTTCCTGGTCGACAAAGGCCTTGGTGAGGATGCGATAAGTGTTCGCGTCGGGGAACCCGTTGGTGCATTCGCCTGCGGTGTGGCATACGAAGACGCGCCTGCATTTCATGCACCCCGCATTAGCACGTAGAAGATCGCATTGAGCTTGGTCCAGAGGTCCCACACGCTGACGGCCATAGTAAGGGAACTCACGTTTACGGGGGCTGTCGCGCGAGTCGTCGTAGCGGGGGCGTTTCCCATTCGCATTTGGAGGGCCGTTGGGCACGGCGTTGGCCACCATATTCGAGGCGTTGCCCGTCAAGTGGATGCGCGGCGCCTGACCGAAGTTGTGCGCGGAGGATCGCTGCGACGCGCTCGTTCTCGTGGATACGCTCGTGGTCAAACTTGTAGACGAGTTTCAACCAGTCCATAAGCTCTGTGGCGGCTGAAAGCTCGTCTGTGTGCTTGTCGAGGATCGTTTGGAGGTCGTAGACAATGTTGGTGAAGATGTGGGCACGCAAGGCTTCGTCGTCCATGCAGAGCGGGTTGCCGCGCAGAAGATCGTTCTCGTCGCAGAGCCGCATGACAAAATGTTTGCACGTCTCGTGGTCCTTCATGCGGGTGCCACGGACGCGGCGCATCTGCTCGGAAGCCCAGTTGTTGCCCATAGCTTGTTGCTTCACCTGTTCGACAAACTCGTCGAATTCCAGCTGACGGAGGGTTTCGCTCTGCGTCCGGACCCAAGCCGAGAGGAAGGTATCCTTGAGGCCGTTCATGACCTTGCCAACAAGGTCTTTGTCCTTGACCTTGTTATAGTCGGCGTATGCGCGGCACTCAGTGGCCCAGTCGCGAAGAACCGGCAAGGTGTGTCTACCGCCAGTCAAGTGGGGGATGAGCTTGGGTGCGCGGTTGTCCTAGAGACGCGCGAAGTGGACCTGGTCGTAGGCCGTGAGTGGGAACGTGTGTGTCGACATGGTGGCGTGTGTATGGAGGGAGGGGATCGTGTGGTTATTGTGGAGGCGGTGTGAGGTGGAAGGGGACGTTGGGGAGGCGTGGAAGAAGAATTTGAGTGTCGCAGATGGTGGTTGTGGGCAAGAGACGTGGGGTGAGGCCGGCGTTAGCTGGCCTAATTTGGTATATGGCGTGATTTGCCTCCGGTGATGGCTACTTTTTGCCTCCGGTGACGGCGGGATGACCGAAGGTATGACGTATATCGTGTGGAGTTGTGGAGCGTGATTTCCGCGCGAGACAGTGCGTTGCGCGACTATGAGCGTGGGTCGGGTGTGTGGGGGGCGTTGTTTGTGAGTGCGTGAAGGGCGTGGGTTGTGTGATGCTCTCCCGCCCGACGTTGGCGAGACTGTGATGAGCGATCTGTGTGCTTTGGATGGGCTTGGCGATGCTGTAAGCGTGCAGCGAGATCACCGGCCCGGGGTTGCGTTGAGTGAAAGCGTGGGATTGGTTGAAAGTATCGTCAAAAAAGTGGAAACCGGCGCACAGTCGTGGCCGGAAACACTACTGTAGTATTTTACTCAATTCGCATGTCACATGTCACACCTGTCAATTTATGCGAAATTTTTCGGTATGTCATAGCAAATCTTCGAAAATCCCCTCCCAAAATGGTAATTTATTACAATTTTCCGTGCCTGCGGCGCCTAAAGTTGCCTAATTAGGCAATTTGATGCCATCATACGAATTGCGAATTTCGTATGCGATGTCACGCCAAAAATGGCATTCGAATTGAGTAAAATACTACAGTAAGGTGTGTCGATATGGATACCGAGAGACGATAGAACCCGTCTATGGGGTGATTCGAGGTATGTATCGATACAGACGGTGAAAGTGAGAAGCAAGAAAAGAGAGTGATCCCATCAACAGTGAGCCCCAGGCTTACACCCCGGGGGTAAAAAAAACTTTTTGTATATAAAAGATTCAGGCCTTATATGGGTGTAAAGACACTGAAAATATAGTGTATACACTCTAATTTCTATAGTTCACAACTCTCATACCTATATCTATATATATTCAGGCCTATGAGCTTGGACAGCCCACTCTGTCATAGGCCCATTGTCAGGCAATTGATGAGAGGTGAATATGTTGAAGAGTTGATATAGCTTGCCATATGTGTTTAAAGGTTCCAGGTACATACATACATACATACACATATATAAATTTTTTGCAAAAAAAAGTTTCACAAACATTGAATTTTTTAATCCCACTTTTTGATCGCATCAGTGGTCACATGACATTGATCGTGAGAATATATTACTATATATGGCAGGAGGGGAGGGGGGGTCCCCAGAGGGTCGGAAAAAAACTCTCCAACCCTATATCCATGTTTCGAATCTTGAACCCCCCCTTGCTAGGGTAGAGCACGGGTCAGGGTCGACCCGCAGGGTTTCAGGGTAGGGTCTGTCAGGGTCAGGGTCAGGGTATGGCAATTTCTAAACCCGGCCAAACCCGGACCCTTTCAGGGTCAACCCGGAGGGTCCAATGAGCCGTTGTGATTTAACAATTCCCTATTTAAACTTGATTTTTGTGAGTTTTTAAGAGACAAAAAAATCATATGTCACTTATGTCACTCATGTGACATGTGACATATGAGTGAACTGTATTAAATATGCTTGAAATATTAAGGAATAGGCCCCATATGCTATATCTGAGCCAATATCATACAGCAAAATGTATCTTATGTTGAAATTATTGTCCCAAATACATCTTCTACTTCCATGTCTCCAACCCGTGGGTCAACCCGGACCCGGTTGGACCCGTACCCGGAAGGGTCAGGGTTAGTCAGGGTCAGGGTCAGGGTCGGCCTTCTAAGACCCGGACCCGGACCCGTGCTCAACCCTACCCCTTGCACACTGGGAATTCAGGCAAAGAAGGCCACCTGAAGTAGTGGTGACTAGGTGAATTGCACCATAGGATTTATATGTGTCAAATTATAAATATGTGTCAAAATGCCATTTTTGGCATTCAAATTGAGCAAAATACTACAGTAAGGTAATTTCCTGGTCATATGCATCTATATCGAGGGCCTTGATTTGGTGGCAATTACTAGTTATTTTGAGCACTGAATTTTGGCCATATAAATCCAGCTTTGGGCCGCCCTTTTTGCTTGAATCAATCCCCAGTTTGACAAGAGCAATGTATAGATTTCCAATTGAATCCTATCTTTAATCAATGTTTTCTTTTTCAAGAGACAAATCCTAAATCAAGCCCAGTCAGACTCCAATGGCCAGAAAGACTCCAGTTCATAATACTGTACTAGAGTGTATCACCAAAGTCCCGCTAGCACCAACGCTCAACAACGCCATTCAACGGCAAACAAAAAATAAAGTGGCGGTAAGGCTCCAACCAAATACAATACAATACTCAATATATTGAGTTATAACCCAATACAATCCATATATATATACAGGGTGGCAAAATTTTTGTAGTATCGAGTATATACTGTATAGATACTCTATACTATTGAGTTTTCTCAGAGGCCTATATAGACAGTATCTGTAAGTGTTATCAAGTCAACTTCTTCCAGATAAGGTATTTTCTGAGTCTTTGTTACTATACTTTTTGGGAGTATACTTATCTGATACTGAAAGTTCAGGTGCTACTTTAACCACAGGTCTCGTGTGCGCTTGCCGCAGGTCGTGGGAAGTAATTCCACGCCTGTCGTCCGTTCGTCGGATCTTTCAAAGCCCTTGCCTTTTGCGGCCAGCCATTAGACTAAAGTCCTGGCAATTGCCAGCGCTGGCTGGCGCAGCGAGCAGAGTGCGAGCCATAAAAGCCCAGCGGCCTGCCCCCTTCCTTACCTTCCCATATCACAATGCCAGCCCCCACCTTCCCTCCCGAAATCATCGCCTCCGTCGTCAAAAACGTGGACGACCGCCCCACGCTCGAGCTCTGCGCGCTTGCAGCGTCCGTCTTCCTCGAGCCTAGTCAACGGCAGCTCTATGGTCTGCTGAAGCTCAGATACGACAAGGACCCACAAGAGGCCGCCCGCGGTAGTGATCCAGAGTATCGCACCTACGCCGCCGCCGCCGCGCACTTTGAAGCCTTCCCCCATCTTGCCAAATATGTGTCCTCGATCCACGTCGTCCTCGGCGCGATCCGCCCTGTGGCGCTCCCGGCCGTCGGCGCGATGTTCCTCCGTCTGCAACACGTGCGCTACTGCGAGCTCCACGGCAGCGGCCAACCCGTCGATTGGCTCTTGGAATGGCCCATCGTCGTCGCCTGGCTGTCGACGCAGACGGGGCTCAAGCATCTCGCGGTCTACAATGTATCCAAAATTCCCAGAGTCGCCTTGCGCGCCATGCTCAATGCAGCCCTGTCGTTGGAACTGTCATTCGGTGCAGAGGTGGGCCACCCCGAGAGGGATGCGAATTATCACCCTGCACCTCCGTCCTCCAAAAGTAGTGTTCTGCGTCGCCTCAATGTCTTGACCTGTGAAACGTTCGAGACGCTGGCCCGCAGCCGCGAGTTTGCTGGCTACTTCAAGTCCCTCACGGCTCTCACCATGACGGCCGATCGCGAGAACCGGCTATGCTTCGCGGCAGCAGACAGTCTACAAGAACTCTCTCTAAGCTTTCCTCAGGCTCCTGAGTCTGCATCCTTATCCTCTTCCGCCTCAGACTCAACCTTGGACGCATCAGAATTACCGAACGACTCGGACCTTGCTACTAGCATCCGACTGCCAGGGTCTCTTCCTTTGCTCCGGAATCTCCGCCTCATGATCGACGATTTCAGCGGGCCACAGGACGGGCCATATCTGCCTCTCACCCTGCTCTCCGCTCTTGTAGGAGCAGCGCCGCGTCTTGGACGAGTCACCCTCCAACTGTGCGACATCCCCCTCTCACTCCTTGCCGATATCAGCAGCGCATCTCCTGCCACAAGGTCCGGAATATTTACTTCGGCTGTCGGTCAGGCCCTCGATGAACTCCTGCTACCCATTGGTGCTGTCGTCTGGACCCCAGGCGACTTCTATCCTGACACCTCAGATACGGACCCGATTAGCTCCTTCGCGTACGCGCAGCTAATCGACATAACCGTCGCCGGGCTGAAAAGCTCGTTGCCGAGAACGGACGCGGGAGGGAGGTTGTCGATGGAGGCATAGTCAAAGTTGTCCAATCTCTCAAGGGTACCCAGAGTAAAGATGCTGTGGTGGTCAAGCTTGATGTTGTAGTGCTCCTGTATATATATCTACATTGACCAATCATACGGACGCTCTATCTTCCCATCTAACAAGTCTTGCACAAACTCCCGGAACTGAATCGGTTTGACGTCCGGGTACAGCTCGCGCGCGTTCAGGAACCCCAGATATTTCGCGTTCTCGGGGGTGTTGTCCCCGCGCACGTACTTGCTGTGGCTGTACTGGTCTATGAAGAGCGCATACCGTGCCATGATGTTCGTCGGGTCTGCGACATATGCGGCCTTGTGCTCGATAAGTGACGCCGCGATGTCGGCAGCGGAGACCTGGATAATCGTCAACAAAAGCCAGAGTCAGTCGCGTTGACTCTACCTGTTTGCGCTCCACTTTTTCCTCCGCGATCTCCTCCACGATCGCGAATATCTCGTGCTCCGACAACACCTCCCCGTATGCGACCACGCTGCGGTTGAGCGTGCGCTCGTCTGGTATGATTCTCGCCACGAATCGGCCGACGTCACGCAGATCGATGAGGATCAACGACTGATCGCCGCCTGCGTGGATCTCATTCGGCCGAACCACCGAGGCATAGTCGGTCCGGCCCGACGGCACCGGCGGAGTCGACACCTGGTACCAGAAGCCCACGTCGATGAGCGTGTATGGCAGGCGCAGCGCCCGGATCTGCGCGTACACCGCCTCTTTTTCATCGCCGAGCGTCATAAGGCCGGCACCGCCGGGGTAAACCGAAGCGAAGGCCGACGGCACGAAACGGCGCACGCCCGCGGCTTTCGCGGCCCGGGCGAGCGGGACCTGTGATTTCACGTGCAGCGCGGCGATCGTGCTGATGAGCACGTCGATGTCTTTCAGGGCTTCAACGAGTGTAGCGTCTGGTGCCCCGTCGGTGGTTTCCTCGATAGCGGCCACGCGGATGGGGATGTCCCGTTGGCGGAGGGCTTGGACATCGGGCTTGTCGATGGAGGAAGGCCGGACGAGGATAGATACCGTCTGTTGTACCAGAAATTAGTACTATCCCTCAATACCGACAGAAAAACGTACAAAATGCTGCGAATCCGCCAGCAAAGCATTCAGAATTGACCGCCCCGTTGCTCCTGTCGCGCCGAGGAGAAGGACTCGTTGTTTAACCATGACCGAGGAGACGGCTGGTGGGATGCCTGAGTCTGCTTTCCAGTGGGCTATTAGGCTAGTTACTAGTAGTGTGGGCAGATACCTCGCTATCTGAATCGTCACACCTTCCCATTTGGGAAGGAGTCAATGATTGAAATCTCCTCTGGTGCATTTCAGCTTCATTTCTTCATAGTCTGGCCTGAAAATTAGAGGAATAGTTTAGATAGCATACCTGTCCCATAGCATAAAATTTCTAAGAGATTCATTCACTCATTCACATTCAATTTGACAATAGTGGTGTGAAATCTTGTTTTTTCACAAGAATTTAAAATAGGGGGGAGTTTAAATAGTGCTGAATCTTACAATAGACCTTCAGTTTTGTTAAGTGTTCATGAATCTATTTCCTGAGGAACATTACAGTGTATTGCAACACAACTTGTCGCAGGTTGTCACGAGGTTGACAGCATGTCACATCATGCTTGGTCGTGTTTGATCCTGCCGGCCGTAGGCCGGCCGCAAAAAAAACCATATGGGGTCAGAGCTATCTGAATCAGCACATGACCCGCGGACCCGGCAGTATCATACCCGGTAGATAGTGCCCCAAAAGGCAATGATTGGGTAATTTCCCTGCACAACACTCAGCGCGCCGCAGGCGCGCCAAAAAAATACATAAAAATGCAGAATAAATTCTTCTAGATGGTCTATGCATGGTTGCCTCACCTTAAGCTCATAGTCCACTCAAAAACTCTTCTTTTCCCTCTCCTTCTCTTTCCTTTTTTCCTTTTTTGGCAATGAATTTATTTTTCATCCGAGGCCCACAGCATAGGTATCTAGCCGGCTATTATAGTCCTCGAAGGACCCCGCTGACTGTGGTGTTATATCCCGAATTCATCGGTATCCCGACGACGGGATATGATCTCATTCCGTCGGATGGAAAGAAACTCGGGCGGTATTAGTTGAGCAGGAGAAAAATGAATAAACGACGGAGCGTACTGGTAGTGGCGACCGTCGCACTCCCTCCATACCACAGCTACAGTTGACCTCCGACGCAGTCGCGTCAAGTAGCAGTTCCTCATGTGAGTGTCCTCAGGCTGGCGCGAAGCTTTGAGGGTTGACAAGACTAGTCGGAGGATAGGCGTCCTGGGGCGGGACGAATTGCTGAACCTAAGGCTAGCACTGGCGTGCCTCACTCGGAGTCGAAGGATGAGTGCCATTGACAGAAGGCCTGTCAACTCGTGGTTTGCGGTCCTGCGTTGTCTGTGCGACGATGCATGTGAACAGAGGCATGCGAGTCTGACTGGGGCAATGGGAACGAGAAATTGACGAGAAAGATGAGTGTATGAGTCAAAAGAAGTCCGTGTGTCGCATCAATCAATCACGGATCATGCCACGTCATCGCCTGACTTCTTCTTTTTCAATAACCACCACCACCACCTATTCTTTCGGTGCTTCCCCCCGTGAAAGTGCGCAGCACACCATCTGACTACCAACAGCGCGACGCCCTAAAGCTCTCTCAACCGCACAACCGCCCAGCCGACGCAGCCCTCGGTGTTTCTTGTCTAGGTCAACCAGCCTTGTCGATTCTTGTATGTCCTTCGCTACCATATACACCAGCGTTGCGAGACTCCGCACCCCCACAGGAAGCATCCAACGGGCCATATCAAGGATTCAAATGTATGGCGAACATTTGCACCATAGAAATCGCTCTCAATCGCTCCAGTTCAAGCACGGGCGCGGGTGCTCAGTACCGGCGCGTTGTCAGGCTGCGCGATCTCGAAGGCGCCCATACCTATGTCGTCATCTTCGGGCTTGTTCTAGGAGGCCGAGTATCCAAAACGCCGAGGAGGACCCCCGAGACACTTCTATATGACGCGATATATACGCCTGCCGATAGATTCGGCGCGACGGCAAGATACTTGTCGTTTGTTCAAGGTGCAGGATAATCCATCCGTGTACTCTGCTTGAATGATGCAATCCAGGTCGGCAACAGAAATACCTCGCGTGAGGTGCCTCACAACACTGCGACCAACGTTCCTAACAAAGACTCGCTTGGCAACGCATCCCGCGTTACAGTGTCAAAACAATGGGTAACTCGAGGACTCATCAGGTATTAGAAGGTTTGCTACATATTCGGCCCTACTATTTCTAACATTGATTACGAAGGATGTATGAAGTCAGTCCCGAACTCGCATTGCAACCCAGGCCAACAGATGCAATCTGCTGGCGGACTAGACTCGGAGGCGTGCTCAATACTCGACGTAGGGCCGCCGCCCCAGCGACTTTACAGTATGTCGATCCTGACGATATGAAGGGTATAAAATTAACTCCGGGCTTTTGACTCAATGCAAATCCCATGGCTGTACGCCAGGCGCGGTGACAGGATGTCGTTTCTCTGTCTAGATTGACATTGGTATGTACTCGTATGGACCTCCCGCTTCCATCCTTATATGTCACCCAGATGCCTCGCCGATATGCGCTATGGTCTGCAGTCGCAACGCGGAGTAAAGACAGCACCATTAAAATGGCAAAGATCCCATGGACTATTGGGTGATGGGGGGTATTCAATTACACGATTTAACTGAGGTGATGATGACATTCTCTATGCTACCTTTTTCGTCAAACTGCAGCACAACCAGCTGATCGGGAGGCGTCTTTGAATTGGACCCTGTACCTTCGCCGACTTTGTGGGGCTATCAAACCTTACCGGCGGTAATTATTACTTATTCATTGCAGCCTCTTATATAGCCGCCATCTCATTGCACTCTCCACCCAACCCAAGGACGATGGCCGCAGACCAATTAGTTGTCTGTTCCGCAATCGCAGGACTAGTGGGTTGCAAACACGCTGTTCGGCTGAAGCCTGCTAACCCATTGACCATAGGCGAACCACCTTTACTTCAAAAACAATGAGCCATCGACTGCGCACTATCCACTACTCGCTCTCTTGGTCCAGCCCATCGGACTTGTTGCCCTCTGCTCCACGATCACGCTCTCCAACTGGCTACTCTCCACTGCCATCTTCTTTGGCGTGCTGTCTTCGTCCATCGTTGCCTATCGTCTCTCTCCATGGCATCCCCTGGCAAGCATTCCCGGCCCGACTCTGGCGAAGGCGAGCAAACTATGGTCGGTTTATATCCAACTCAGCGGTCGGAAACATCGCATCTTGAAGGAGCTTCACGATCAGTACGGGGATTTTGTCCGCATTGGTTCGTCTCCGTCCCCTGTACAACAGCCTTCTGACCCCATATCACATTATCAGGCCCAAACGACGTTTCGTGTTGCAACGCAGACGCAATCAAGACAGTTTATGGATCGGGTGGGTTCAACAAGGGCCATTGTAAGCTCACTTTGATCTGTCTGACGCCCGCGATGACGATCTTCCCAGACTATGAGCCATACACCGACCCTGCTCTCAACGAGCGCAACTTGTTCAACATGCGCGACGGCGCGCACGCCAACCGACGCAAGCTCTGGAACCGCGGGTTAAGCACCGACTCGCTGAAGGGGTTCGAGGAGGTCATGTCTCACCGTGTGCAAACTATGCTCGACCAGATCGACCGCATTGTTAAGTCAAAGGAGCCGGTCAATATCGCTGCATGGTTCGGCTTCTATGCTTTCGACTTCATGGGCGACATGGCGTATGTGCTCTTCGAATGATTCGCCAAGAAATGCTTACCACTCTCTGGCAGATTTGGTGGTGGATTCGACATGTTGAAAGAAGGCAGCGACAAAGATGGCGTCTTCCCGATGCTCCAAACTGCGGTCAAGTAGGTGTCTGATGGTGCTCGCATTGCAACGATCTGAGCATACAAAGGTTGACGTCCGTTTTCACACAAATACCATGGTTTACCCCGACGTTCAACCGCCTGCCTGGTGTGCAAGCGATTGTCCAGAAGGCATTCCATTTTGCAATGGTCAGCGGCCAGAAACGTATTGCGGCTGGGCCGAAGGAGCTGAAAGACTTGTGGTACCATTTGGTGGGTTCCAACGCACATCGTTCCGGTAACGATCTGACAAATTCTTCAGATGGACGAAGATGACCTCGAGAAAGTCAAGCCCACTGTCAACGAGGTGCTGGCTGACGGTATCATGGCCGTCATCGCGGGGTCGGACACTGTAGCGGTGGCTCTTACCACGTCAGTCTCCCTCTTCTCTCTTCGCATCGAGGCTTGACATGACTGACCTTCATGACCAGCTTCATGTGGTGCATGATAATGCATCCAGACATACATGCTCGGGTCCGCGCGGAGCTTGACGCTGTATTCCCCGACGGTACCAGCGTTTACGACTGCGACAAGTACGACGAGCTCAAGTTGTTGAATGCCTGTCTGTAAGTCGTTTCAGCCGATGTGCTCCGAATTCGGCTGGTTTGACGCACCCTTCCTCTAGCCAAGAGTCCCTCCGTCTGTTCCCGCCAGTTCCGACCAACGGCGCTCGCAAGATTCCCCTCGGCGAACCCCGCCTCGTTGCGGGTCGACTCCTCCCGGAACAAACTCAGATCTACATGCCGCCATATGTCATGCATCGCAACCCGAAGAACTTCTTCCCGGCACCAGACAGCTTCGACCCGGACCGCTGGCTCCGTCCCGAATCCGGGTCCGAGATCCTTAATCGGACGGCATACCTCGCGTGGTCGTATGGCGCCGCGAATTGCGCTGCGAAGAACCTGGCCAACCAGGAGATGCTCATGGCGCTCGCGGCCGTGCTGAAGCGCTACGACCTGAGCTTCGCCAATGCGGAGGGGCGGCAATGGGCGGAGAAGTCGATTGGCGAGTACCACATTACGCGCGTTGGCAAGCTGGAGCTGAATGCCGAGCTGCGTTGAGGACAACGCGTAGACAGCCCTGTTATGTTCTGTAAGGATCAATTTGTAAAATTAGTAGATGGTATCTATATAAAGGACATTTACTTACCCATTGGAACGCTGGCAAAACTGTCACTTGTCCGCAGCCAGTTTCAATCACGGCTCCACTGCCTTCTCACCAACTGTCATTAACGGTGATCATGATAAGTATCAGAGTG